TTTGATATTAGAAAAAAAAATTCACTGAAAGTGTTTAAGCATTGGAATAAGTTGCCCAGGGAAGTGGTAGAGTGACCACCTCTGTAAGTGTTCAAGAGGTATCTGCTGGTACTTGGGGATGTGGTTTAGGAGTGATTGTGGTGGTGCTTGGTTGACTGTTGGTGATCTTGAAGGTGTCTTCCCACCTTGATGATTCTGTGACTAAAAGAAGAGATGATGGATCAAAGGAAGATAATTGTTCCAAGACTACTAGTGGAACTTAAAATTGAATTTAGAGCTTTTTGAAATTCAGTGGAATCTAATGAGTCAACAACTTGTTCCGAGACTTTAAGATATTTATTTTAGAAATTCACTTTCTTATCATTTGAGCTATTAAGATTTACGGTAGTAGCAGATCTGATGGTAAGAATACAGGCTAAGTTGCTTATTCACTTTCCAAACCTTTTATATAATTCGAGTTTGTTTGCTGAAAAGGGTCTCCTGTCATGCTGCATAGATTCTTTTGCTTTCCTGGGAATCACAGCCTACGACAGTTTCCATGATCCTAACTAATACAATCTTGAAGTCTGTCACTCTTGGTTCAGTTGCTACTCACTCACATTAAGAGGCTACCTAGAATTCTGGTCATAAAGTGCCTAGAAACTTTCCTCAGATCTTTAACTCATACTAATCAATTATGTTTCTATTCACATTTTTTTCTTCTTACAATATTCTTCTTACTGTTCTGCAGCTCAAATACTTCTTTTCCCTACATGGTTCTTCACCAAAATTTGAATTTATAGAAAATAATTCTACTGCCTCTCAATCTGCTTTGCTGTCATTTTTAAAGCCACATTCCCAGCAGTCTTGGCCATTCTAAGAGACTTTATAGAGTTTCCTATGTGAATTTGCCTTTTAAATACAGCTAGTCAAAATAACTCTCACATTGGCTTATATCCTAATATTACTGTTCCCTTCCCTGGCCATACGTCATACGCTTTCTGGAGTTACATTTGCACCTGTGTTTCTCATAGCCAGATTATATAGGGCTCTTAGGCATCTTGCTGTTGACTAGACACCTGTATATTTATCTTGATGATCCCAGCACTTACAGAAGAAATTCTTACACTTTGATTCTAAGTACGTCTGCTGTATGGAGCATTAGGTGCATTCTCATTTCTGTTACTCAGACTAAATAATTCAAATTTTCCAGTATAGGAATCATTCCTACTTTTTAATCCTCCGAATCCAATGTCCTATGAAACATCATTACTACACAACTACGTTTTGTACCAACGTCATGAAAGAAAATATTAAAGCTCACTTCTAAACTCCATCAGCTTCCTGTGCAGGTAAAGCAGAATTGCCTTTTGCAGGCAATTCACAGCAGAAACTTATCTCAGTCATTCTGACCCTCTCCTCAGGGAAGCCTTCCTTTGACTATAAAGGGAGCAAAATCAAAATAGTTAAAGTTAGCTTTTTGGAATGCCTCTGTTCCTATGCCAAAAGAATGACTGACGATATTTTTCTGCCATTAGGTCTCCTAGTAATTTAGGATGTGTGACCTTAGGCTTGGAACTTGGGGTACATAGAGAGTTCTGGTTTCTATGACATTACTATGGGATTGTCAGCACAAACTGAGGATATGTTTTTGAATTAATACATTTCACGATGCCTAGTACTACATTTTTCTGTCTGACTGAAATCTTTCTCAACCATACTATCATGTTTTGTGGACAACTGCATAGCTATGCATTGTCACACCCTTTTGAAAACTGATTTTCTGAATCAGAGATTCTCCATAATTTATTCAGAAAAACAAATAATTTTTTCAAGACACAGGTCATAAATATAATCGTAAATCACAATGTCATGGCTCAATAAATGTATTAAAAGCTCTATTGCAAGATCAAGAACTCTATTTCCATGTAATTGGGACAAAGTTTTTCAAGTCCTGCAAAAAAAAAAAAAAAAAAGGGTTATAACTGAAATCAGCAAAAAGTGGTATGGATTTTTTTCAGGTAGCAGCATACATTTGTGAAATACATTTTCTCAGGGGTTTCCAACTATACAAAAGATTAAACCAATCTCAGGTATTTAGTGTTCAAAGCAAAAAGGGATTAAAATCTTGATTGTAATTTAGAAGAGGGTAAACCTCATTTATTCTGAAATAAGGATTACATTTCTTTATTGCTGTTTATTTAAACTCTTAACACATAAAACTTTCAAGTCACAATACTTAACAGCTGTTGCATACATTAGCACACTCAACACAGTATTTCCATAGCCTGTTTCAAGTCCATATTCTTTCACTATGTGCCTAAATCTTTTCTTGTGGTATGGACAGAATTTAGGCACTGTTGTTTTATTCAATAAGCAATCAAGTTTAAACCTACAAGTTAAAAAATAAAACCTACAAGTGGAAAAATATCAGAAAACTGCATTATTATTATTATTATTATCGTTCTCATGTTACATATATTGCTATTGTTAAACAAAATATGTTTGAGGTAGAAACAAGAATATGTGCATAGTACATGAGTTGTGGTCCTGACTTTCATTTCCTAGGCCACATGAAACTATTACTTTCTCAGGGAATAAACATTTTCACTCTGTAAAGGACTTATGGTGTAGTAAGTAATATAAACCCAGGCCTATTGTAACACATTGCACAAAGGTCAGGGATAAATTTGCTTAAAGAATAACAACTTGGAGACAAATCCTAGCACCACCTGATGCGAGACAAGTAGTCAAGTTTATTAGAAGTGATTTAGTGAAGTTTGGATGGGCTTCATTAGCCAAGGCAATTTAAAGTGCACCTCCATACAAAGTGAATGTACAATGAACATCTTCAAATTAGGTGTGTTCAAGAAGCAGCCTCTTCCACACATATTAACAAGAGAAAATTTAAAGTAAGCATTTCGTTACTAGAGAAAAATAGAGGAGGAGGCAGTGCAAGCCAAATGAGAAGTAGGGCAAGGAAAATCAATTTCTCATCAACTGTGGGGTGAATAGCTTTAAACTAAGTCACATAGATTCTAATCAGTACCAATAGAAAAATGCTTCCTCTGTACTACACAGCAAAGATATAGCACCAAATTCATGATACAGGAGACTTCAAATTTTGTTGGAAATTCTGTGAAATAAGAAGAAAATACTATGCAATTTATAGGTCCCTAGAAAGCAGACAGAAGGGGCCTTTGGCATGACACTTGTGATTAAGTGTATTCAGCTCCAAGCTAATGCCCTGAGCAAGTACAGCAATAGCAAAAACCAAGAATTATTTTAGATTCTTTGCATAGAAGCCGAAAAACTAATTGTGATGTATTAGCTCAAAACAAGAAAGGATTTCATTACGTTGCAGATGGCCTGAGCAAAGAGAATATGTGACACAAAAGGAAATGTGATGAGATTACAAAATGTATCAGAACTGCTTTGATTAATCTTGTCTAGAGAGTTTTAAGAAATAGATACTACACAAGACTTAAATTAGAGGAATGACAAGCATATAATTCCCAACTTCTACTTCTTCTGCTGCTTTGAACAGCATATCTCCACTTTATCCAATGATTTTATGGCTGAAGGATTTTCACATGCTTAAATTATACTTCCTTGGACACCATGATGTGTGTTGTGTCTCCAGAAAACTGTGCTGCTCAAAAAGCTACACACATCCCACTCTAACATTGTCCTTTTTTTAGTTACACCTCCTTCTGTTAGGAACTTTGAAGGAGGTTTAGGTCTTGAGGAGATATGGTGTTTACTCAAAGATCTCTTTGCAGTGGTTTTCATTTCTTCTCTACCCGAGATGCTGTGATACCACTTACCCTCTACTCACCTTTGGGAAGATTTTCTCAAGAATCTGGTCATTTCAAGCATAATTCACTCTTGTTGCCACTTCTCTTGCTGTAACATCCACATCTCCACGGCATTTGGGACTCTGGGAATAGGTTTCAGGGGTTTGGTACAGGGGTAGCAATTACGACCTGTGTGGGAGGAAGCCTTGAGCTGCCCTATGCCAGTCACAGGAATTTCCACTCAGCTCTGACATCAGTGTGTCAAAGCTGAGAAATATTGAGTCAAGGTATAGAAAAAAAATCCCATATCCTGGTCTCCACATAGAGGAAGTCCAAATGTGTAGCCCAGTTGCCAGCTGAGTGACACTCCAAAGCAGCCCCAGTCTGCATAATCACACAATAGCAAGTAATTGAGGATGAAATTTCAAATATGAATAAGCCCAAAAGAGTTGATCAAGAATCACTTTCTATTTGACTGGCCAGCATGCATAAATCCTAATGAAAGCATTAGTTTCAGTGCAGAATGTGAGTTTGCTGGTGTTTGAAAATCAATAGGCCTCAGGTTTGAACAAATGCTGTGAGTGCTGGAATATCAGCTCAATATTACTATGACCCAGAGTAAAACACTAGCACAAAAGGAAGAAACCTCAGCAAGAAACACCATTGTTTTGTTTTCACTGAAAACAAATGTACTTTTTTACCTCGTGTTAGCCATAACAAACCATGAAAATCCTAGATGAAATCAATTTTCCCAATATTAGGAAGAATCAAGTAAGCATAGTCTCTCCTCCCCCACCTCCATTTCAGTCTTTGGCTCAGTTATCTCCCGTCATCATTAGGACATTAACATACAATAACGAGCACATTTTTATGCACAGATGGGAAAAGCATGCCTTGTCACTTAGTGAAAACATCACATTAGCTCTAGGCTTTACACAGTCACAGAACTTGGTGAAAAGCAGCAGTGGGAAGTCATTAGTGTAATGGGCTATACAGGGTACCCTGAGCTCCTCTGCATGAAATAATACATAAACTGCTGCTGGCACAAGCAGAAAGCAAGAGCAGGTAACAGAAGTTTCCTCTTAGCATGAATTAAGTGATGTGAAAAAGCACTGTGCTCAGTAAAGATCTAAATATCTGACTTCAGCTCAGAAATAGAATTAGAGTTGTTTTCTTCCATTGATTTCCAGTACATAAAGCTTTATTTCTTTTTGTTTTAATTAGCACACAGAAGCCAACACCTTCAGATTTCCAGAGAAATGAGTATGCTGAGGCCCAACTTCAAGAGATTTTAAAAAAATTACGGGAAAGGGCAACTGTCTATAAGGAAAAGCTGAACGACCCAGTGCTGTCTTCACCTGAAGGCAGTCCTACAGCTTGTAAGTGACTCTCAAAATAGCTGTGAATTTGTTGAGCTTAAACCTGAAAATTATTTTGTGGGAACAGAAAATATTGTGATAATTTTTTTGTAAGTATAGTGTATTTATCCACTAAAATGATCAGTTTGTGCCCACTGAATTCAACTTATCCACAGTTCTCTATAATAAGCCAGGTCCCTAGGTACAAGCTCCCTTTGAACTCCATCACTGAAGAATTTGGGAAAAAAGCCTTATAGAGGTAATATCTAGAATCTTCCCTGTCAAGAACTGTATTTTAAAATAGCTCCCAAATATGTTTATTCATGGAGATGAATCAGAGATATATGAAGAAACATACGTATATTATGAGTGGATATTAGTCACTCTGATATGAGATCTGCTGTGTAAATAAAGTAAATAAAAATCTTAGCCTTGACAGCAATCTTCTGGGCACACTGAGGACTTAAATCTAGGCTTTGAATAGATCAAACTCACCTGATGTTAATTAATCCTTGATTTTTTACAAAATATGAAACATAAATCAATATTTTTCCTCGTCAGAGGAAAGTCTTACTTTTTTTTGCCTTTTCACAAAGAATTCAGTGTGGTAGTTTTATGTTCTGAAACTTTTTATAATCTGTTTATATCTTATGTGTTTTTTAAAAAACTGTAAAAAGTGGTGCCTGAAGAACTATAAACTATACCCTCTGATAAAGGAATCCTTTTTTCTTTAATTATTTCTTTGCTCATTTACCTCTTTTGTTCTCTTTATAGAACTTAAAACCATTTATTTCCTAAATTATTACAGATCTAGTTTGCCAGATTACTTTTAAGAATGTGTATCCTAACCAGAGTTAACAGGACACATGTGTGGACAACAATAACCAGCCCAAAGATGAAAGAACTGGGCTCAAAGAAGTGCCACAAGACTTTTATAAGCCTAGAAATATACAAAATCATAGGCTTCCCACTAGTTTCACCTGCTGCATCTTGTATATCAGGTCTCAGGAGAGGGGAGAGATCAGCCTGTGTCACAGGTGTCTTCTGCTATCTCCGTTCTCACTGCATGCATTCTGTGCAACAGTCACGTAAAGAGAAATGTCCAGTTGCATTAATGAATGCTGAATTATGAATTAACCTTTTCTTGTGAGTCTTATAAAAGATATAACTTGTGGGCACTGTTCAGGGAAATAGAGCATTATTATACTCTGTAACATAAGTGCCCTGTTCATGATAGCCGATGCACATGTTTAAGCCAGTACTGATTTTATTCTCCAATTCTTTTTCTAATGCATTTAGTATAATAAAATGTCATTTTAGTCACTGCTCAGTGTTTTTAGAAGAGATTTTAACATGATGAAGTTCTTGTTCATGTCAAAACAGGGTGTGGTTATTGAGTCATTATTAAAATGCCACCCTTTGTGGCATCTTATGTGTCTAGCACCAAAGAAACCACCCCCACCAAAAGAAGAAAAAAAAGAAGAAAAAAAGGAAGAAAAAAAAGAAGAAAAAAAAGAGGAGGCAGAAGTAAAGCCAGAGGAGGATCATTACTGTGATATGCTATGCTGTAAATTCAAAAAACCTCCACTGAAAAAATATATGGAGAAACTGCAGCTACCAGACACCATAGACTCTTACACAGGTAAATTAAAAGCTATGCAGTAGAATGGGGTAAAGACATATTGAAGTGACTTGGCGTTACATAGCACCTATGAGACACCATAAGATACACATTCCAGTTTGCAACTCGAGGGATGCAAAGGTCCTGCCCTAAACATCTTTCCAAAGAGGAAAAAGACATGAAAAGTGACATCAAGTTGAGGGGGAAGTGTCAATCATCTGGAAGGCAGGAGGGCTCTGCAGAGGGACCTGGACAGACTAGAGAGCTGGGCTGATTCCTGCAGCGCTACAGGCTGGGCACAGAGTGGCTGGAGAGCAGCCAGGTGGAAAGGGACCTGGGAGTTTGGATCGACAGGAAGCTGAACATGAGCCAGCATTGTGCCCAGGTGGCCAAGAAGGCCAGTGGCATCCTGGTCTGGATCAGGAATGGTGTGACCAGCAGGAATAGGGAAGTGATCCTTGCCCTGTACTCAGCACTGGTGAGGCCACACGAGTATTGTGTTCAGTTCTGGCCCACTCAGTTCAGGAAGGATATTGAGGTGCTGGAGCAGGTCCAGAGAAGAGCAACCAGGCTGCTGAAGGGACTGGAACACAAGTTCTATGAGCAGAGGCTGAGGGAGTTGGGGTTGTTTAGCCTGGAGAAGAGGAGGCTCAGGGTAGACCTCATCACTCTCTACAACTACCTGAAAGGAGGCTGTAGCCAGGTGGAGGTTGGTCTCTTTTCCCAGGCAACTATCAGTAAGACAAGAGGGCATCAAACTCTGCCAGGGGAGGTTTAGGTTGGATGTTAGGAAGAAATTCTCTACAGAGAGGGTAATCAGGCATTGGAATGGGCTGCCCAGGGAGGTGGTGGATTCTCCATCACTGGAAGTGTTTAAGAAGAGGTTGGATGTGGCACTTAGTGCCATGATCTAGTAACTGTGGTGGTAGTGGATCAGCAGCTGGACTTGATGATCTCAGAGGTCCTTTCCAATCCATTTAATTCTATGATTCTATTCTATGATCAGTTGTAAAAATGGTACGCACAAAATGGCATGCAAATCAATCACAATCAGAACCCAAGTTTCTTGATCTACAATTTGTACCATTCATTAGGGTCAAATAATTCTTTTGTCAGTTATAACACACATGAACAGCATGTAAAATGATAGTATTGAGTTTTGTCAGATGAATAAAATTCTGTATGCTCTCATTACCTCGTCTTTTGTCCCATTTGCAAATTCCTTGTGTGACTCCTAGTTTCATCTATCACTTTAGCAGTGTGTACCCTCGAAAAAGGGAGAATGCTAGGTTGCTCTGGGCAGAATCATTCCCAGAGACTGCAGTAGAATAAATGTGTCTAAAAGAATGACAATAGACTCTAAGTTCATGCCTGTAAATTCAATGTGTTTTTTTTCAGATCGCCGTTACGTGGGATGGCTCATGCTTGTGACAATCGCCTATAATTGGAATTGCTGGTTTATTCCCCTTCGCTATGTGTTCCCATATCAAACCCCAAGTAACATAATATATTGGTTTGCCATTGATGTCATTTGTGATATCTGCTACCTCTGTGATTTACTGATTTTCCAGCCCCGAGTGCGATTTATAAAAGGGGGAGATATAATAGTAAGTACTGGAAGTGGGATTTCCATAGGTAGTAGATGTGTGTTAAAGTAGAATATAGAAATTCCTCCAATCTGAAGGTTTTTCTTCTCACTATGTCAAATCTATGTAACTTTTATGTTTTCATATATTCTTCTTCATTGACCTTCCATTCTTCACTGACCTTCCATTCTCCATTGACCTTCCATTCTCCTGCGGGGGAAGAAACATAACCATTGTCTACATTCTTAAAAATAGAAAGAACAGATTTGAAAGTAACAGAAGAGAGCAGTTGAAACAAGCATATAGCTCTCAAAAGGAGTAAATTGGTGAAGCTTTACTTGAAGCAGTGATTATATCACATGTACTCATGCATATATACGTTTGTATGTTTGTGTGAAACTTTCACCTTTCTATTCCCCTTATACCAGAATCATAGTTGAAGATAGTGCATATTCTGCTAGGGTTGGACAGGATAGCATATTTTGTAAAAGACTCTGAGACTGTGGGTTTATTTTTTTCTAAAATCAGAGCAAATCACTGTAATTTTTAGGATACTTTGTAAATAAATTTTGGTAAAATATGTACATTCAATTTTAATTCGTGCTACTGTTTTTGGTTTATCATTTTATAGAAAAATGCAAAATGAAATTTTATGCAAGTATCTGAAAAAAGTTGAAAGTTTACTTTTAACGTATAAAAAGGACATCTAGAATATTTTTTCTTTAAAATCTTCTCTGTTTTTGATTCTTTAACCTCTTACAGAAAAAAACTATTTCAGAAAAAAAAATTAGTTTTGATAACTTCAGCATGACATTACTGTGCCCAACAGACAGAAAATTCAAAATTATATATCCTCAAATGTAATTTGGAACTAGCCTTTACAGTGCTTTTACTTAAAATTTTATACATTGTACATACACGATATTACAGATACCTTTACAGATAAAGCTGTGCAAATATCATTTGAATAGATATTAAATGCAGTGCAGTGTAATGTACTTTCCAGACCAAGACATTCAGCAATTGGCAATCTTGCCTAAATCCCCAAAAAACTCAACTTTTATGAGCAAAGCTAAAACTCTAACATAGGAAGCTTACATGGTATTTCCCTTGAAGCTATTTCTACAATTCATAGATTTTAGTGCACAAAGAGATCATCTACTGCCTGATCTCCTGTGTTTAGTTAAATGCTTAAATTGATAATACCAAAATTTGGCATGAAAATATGCGTAAGATTTTAAAGTTCTTTTAAAAGTGTCTCTGATACAAATACAGAAAGTATAAAAATAGATACTTGTGATTACCTTTTCTTATTAAGGTATTAGCCTCAGTTCCCGTGAAGAACAGTTTAAAAATAAATAGCTAATCATTGCTAACGAATGCAGTGATGATTATTATAATGCTAATAATGCTATCATGTTAATGCTAGCTTTTCAAGAGCTAATTTTGTACAACACCATCAGAAACATTCTTTGCATTTTTCTTGGAATCACTGCAGATTAATGCAGTTTTTCACCCTGAAATTGGAGGGGTTTGGGTCAAGCACCAAGTGGTACAGATGTCTTGAGAGGGAAGTTTTTTGTAAGGAAAATGTAAGGAATAGATTGGAAAAAATCAGACAAATCCTGAGCCTCATTTTTTCAAATAGTTCTAATAAAATCAGATCTACTGTAAACTGGACTAATAAAAGTACTGCTTCTCCCGCCGTTCATACATTTAGACTATCATTAATTTAACTGTCATCATCCCTACTATCAATAGATAATTATTATTGTCGAGTAGTAGAGGTTCATTCTTGACATTCTGTTCTTGACTTTGCCTTTTTCCCCATTCATTATCACTGTAGACAGACAAAGTGGAAACAAAGAAATTCTACCGCAGCTCTGTAAAGTTTCAGGTAAGTAGATCCTGTGTGACTGATATCAATATGAAGTTCTTTGTGCTCCCCCAGATTGCTTTAGGCAGCCTGGTTTTAGAAGCTAAAGGACTTGTAAGGCATGCTTGTGGAGTGATCTCCCGACCTCCGCTCACCAGCCATATGCCTAACACTTTAGTTTTATCAGAACTACAATTGAAATAACAGTACGTAATAATAATCAAATATATGAGATACTATTAATAATCCCCATGAAACAGATTACAGTCTCTGGCATAGAGAATTTAAAAGCAGGGCAAAGCTGTTGGTGCTTTCAAAGAGATAATCTTGCCTGACAGTTCTTTGAGAAGCTACATGTTTAGCATGCTGACTTTTCAAATATTATTGCAGTCATGATTCAATCTAAGCAAGTTTTTGACAGCAAATAAATGCATGATGATTAGTATGAAGTTTAAATTGACCTCTCTGCTCTTCAACAGCTTGATGTGATATCAGTATTGCCATCTGACATTTTATACTTCTTCTTTGGATTTAATCCAGCACTTAGAGTAAACAGGATGCTAAAGGTAAGGTCTGTGATAATGATGGATGGCTAGCCATGCATAAATGTTTTGCAACTCAACAGAAAGTTTTTTATAATATTTAGGAATATTAAATTTATAAACTGTAAAATATCTTCAGGTTAAGATACAACATCAGTAAATAAACTAACAAAAAATATAAACTATAGTCTAGCCATATTAAGCATTTATTCTCTTACTTTTCTTCCAGCTTTTAATTCCTACTTTCAAAAGGTATTTTGTGATTAAAGCTATTTTTTCCATAATTTAAATTAATCTCAAATTACCTGTTTAGTTTTCAAAGATTTAAAAAAACCTAATTAATGCCAGTGATTTTTCCTCTTCTGTTGTTTATGACTCGTGTTTAAAAGCAAAGGAAGGAATTCTAAGGACAATATAAACTATACACAGAATATTTATCAAGCATAAACTCACTTTTTTTATTGAGTCCAAAGACACCTGGAATTGTGTAACGAAGGGTCTACAAAGGGATTAGAACATGGTACGTAGCAGGCTTCTCTGCAGCTAAATACATTCCCCTTCATACAATCAATATGTTGACGAAGAATCGTCTTTCATTTAACATTGTGGGGGAGACACAAGAACTCTGAGAATAAAATGAGGGCGTTCTTCAATATTCAACAAAATTTCAACATTCCATAAATCAGAACCAAAATAATATGGAAGAATGAAAAGCTAGATAGGACGTCATGTTAGGTAAACAGATGTGTACTGAACAGAAACAAAGAAAAAGGTTATATGCAAATATTTAAAGCTACCACTAAAGGTCAATGACAAATACTTAACAGGAAGAATTTGATACAGCTGCAGTTGATACTGCATAGAATCATCTAGTATGTGGCTGTTGATATATATGGTCACTTACTGCAGAATTACTGGAATTTAAGGAAGAGAAAAAAGGAGGGTTAGTGCATATAATTCTCTGTGATTAAGTGTCCAAGCAATTATATACGCTTGAGGAAGTAGGTGTCTTTTTATCTGCAGCAGTCTGACCAAATCAGCAAGGTTAAAAAACCCATTTAACTCAATTTTTATCTTTGTTTTTCAGTTCACAATTTAGTTAAATGTTTGTCATGGTTTAGGAATGGTATTCTTCAATTTAGTATTCCTACTAAAAACCATGTGCTGCTCCCCCCTGTCTAACTCGAGACACAAAATGCAAAGATCACTTGTTGAGATAAAAACAATTTACGGGAAACAACAATGAGATAAGAAAATGAACAGTAACAGCCACAATAATAATAACAAAATATATGAGAGAGAAATTATTCACATGGTAAAACTCCTCAATAATAGATAATACCATACAGCTCCCCCTGCCACGTTTTCTCTAACAAAAAGAACTACTTCTCCCCGGAACAGAGTCCATTTTCCCCACCCCCAGCAATGAAGTGAAGTGGTACAGAATAACCTCTGGGTCCTAGCCATGTCCCCTCCTGGCTACTGAAAAATTAACCCTGTCCTGGCTGGAACCAGCACAATGTTAAAAGAAAGTTTGATTATTGAAAAATCCATTTTCAAAATGTGTATGTGAACCAATGTCAGTACTATTATAAAAAGATGTGTACTGAAGAATAGTGATTGGATTGTTTTCATTTTTTTCCCACTCAGCATAACACATTCTTTGAGTTTAATGATCGATTGGAAGCTATTATGGAAAAAGCATACATCTACAGGTATGTGCTGATAAAACTTGAGTAGCATTCAGAGTTGGGCACAGAATCCATTTCATATGATCCAAATCATATGATTTTATGTGCTGTCAGTTAAGCGCTGGATGGAATATGGTATGTCTTTAACCATTCAATTTAAGTTTTTTAAAATATATCTTTACTGTAATCTTATAAATAATGTATGTAAGGTTTCATTCACATATGAAATCTAGCTCAGTTCAGTTGGCCTGGTTCAGGCAAAATGTTTACCAAACTGAGGCTCCTGCCAAAATTTAATTGATCAAAATATCAGAAAGAAGTTTCTTTAGTGAAAGAGCTAAAGAACAGTTTCTTTAGGTTGCTAGTAGTAGTTCCAAATCCTCAGTAGCTGTTTATTTGTATTTAATCAGAGTTATGAGCTTGAGCCTATGTCAACATTTTTCTTCAAACATGCTCTCCCTATGACCCTGGCATACACAGAAACTTGATCCTTCACTGCATTGACTACACTGGGAATGAGGACCAACTCAGCACAATTCTCAAAGAGTGATTATAAATGTTGTCTGTTGAATTGTGTTCTCACTTTCTGCATGGACAGGAAGAATTTTGGATGCAAACTTATGGCAAGTTTCATAGGTCCCTCAGCTGTCAATGATGCTGCTAAGACCCAGTGAACCCATCTACTCTGCCACCATTATTGTCATCTACTGTCAATGCCATCAGCCCTAGTTTATCTTGTGCAATTCCTACGCCAACAGATTCTTTTCCCTGTCCCAGTTTTGGGACATGTATTGTTCCTGTGTGTTGCTGCTGCAGAAACAAGAATATGTTGTTTATCATCTTACTCTATTTCAGAGATTTTTGCACTTAAATAGCACACTTGATATTTATACATTTAAATAAGATGTTTTATGAGATTTTAAAACTAGTTAAATGTAAAAAGGAGGTTGAAATATCATCTCTTTTTTATTTTCATGTACCTATAAAATCAAAGAGAAGTTTGAAAGTTCTATGAAATTATTTTTGAGATGCTGACCTCCATAAAGCTTATTATTGTATAAGAATATAACCTTATATTCTTACATAAGAATATAAGACTATATTTTTATATAATTCCCTCTCTTTTCAGTTATCAAAGACTCTTTTGTGGTTTGATTGGGTTTCTTTTATTATCTATTTTTTTAATTCTTTTTGGTTCAAGAGAGAGTTTTTCTGAATTTCCACAGATGTCACTTTCTGAATCACTGCATCCCTAGCTTCTCCATTTTTTAATTTAATTAAAAGAATGGGCTTTCTTCTGCTTATGGTTTTTAACTTTTTCTAATGTTTATAAGTTTTAAAGGTAATTAGTTTTAAATTAATTAGTTTCTATATTTTGTCTTTTGCATTTCGGAGTAATAACTCAATGACTTTACTGTATCTCCCATAATGTTTGCAGTGAGTACTGGAAGATAAAGTTTTTATATACAGATCGTTCTGGGTAAAGTAACTAGTTTGTATATAACAATAATGTTGTGTCTACATGGATTTCAAAGAAATGGGAACACATTTGCAAACTCATTTTCACTAAAATAAACAGCTTTGCAAGGGACAGAGTTTCACATTATATAAAAGCATAGAATGGGAAATGATTGTTCAGAGGTCAAGTTGAGAAAGGGATGTGAGCAAGAGCTCACTGGTCCTGTGAAATGTATACAATAGATGGAAAGACAGAGCTAGCTACTCTGCAAAGCTCTTTGCCTTATTAGACATTTCTTTAGCATGATATTGGTTGAGTTCCACAACTCTGTGTTGCTTCTGGTGTCTTTGCTTCCTGGTCACAGGCCCATTTAGATTTTCCAGCATTGAATCACTTGCAGCATGTAAATTTCAGTATCTAAATATTAAAAAGTGAATCTATTTTCTACCTCATACTCCAGAAAACACCAGTTCCTGGTTTTGTTCATTGGCAAATGGAGAACAGGAGTAATTATATAGAAGAAGAATAGAAGTGGGAGCTAAAAAGTCTTAAAAAGTCAAGCTTTTTGTGCAAACTACTGCATTTTATTTTAATGTAGCAATGTTGCTTTGGTCTGAGATCCTGGTATAGTCATAATTTGAGCAATAAGTCACCAATTAAACAATATCAAATTAAACTTCTACAAGGCAAGTGTATGTGCCTGGGTGGATTCTCTTCTCAAACTAATTAGTTTGAGTTTGTAAGAATAGAGATGGCAAAGGTTACGTCTCATCTACCCATTGTGATAGATTCAATAAGTGTATGGAGAAATATAAAATATTTTGTGGCAAAGGCTTCCTGAATCTTCACTCAGATCTCAGGAGTCCACTTGAATGGATTCACACTTGTACACAAGACCCTGTATGGTCAATATTGCAATATTACTAGATCACAACAGCTATCTGTTGTTCTGAATAGCTTGCAATCCTAAACAGAGCTGTCCTGGAAGCACACCAACTTTTAAACAGAGAAGGGGCATTCATTTGTCAGCATCACAAAGAAGAAGAGTACACTTAGGTAGACTGCTTAATGGCACAGAGAGGTCAAGGAAGGCATGCAATGGTATCTGAAGAACCAGCAAAGGAGTGCATAATACAGAACCAATAACATTAATGGTTGATATTATCTCCCATTAACTTGGTTTATAGACCCAACATATTTAGGTGTTATTAAATTTTCATAAAACCACATACTCAGTTATTCTGGATTCCATACTGCATTTAATTCTAGCTTTAGCAGATAATCTCATTACATACCAGCTTCTCTGTGTTTAGGGAAGTCCTGTATTTTTCCTGCTTGTTTATCCCCTTCTTGTATGAATATTTGAATGGAGACCTAAATCCAGGAGATCTTTCTTTTGATCTGCATGCACTGAACAGAGGATATACAATGAGATCATTATTGCATTAAACAGAAAGCTGCTTGGTGCTTAAGTAGTTCATCACTGGTATTTTTCAAAGAATTGGTTATAAGCATAAGAACTGGGATTAGGAATGAGGTAATTCCTGGTGTAAACACTAAATCATACTATTGAGGGAATCTATTGCAGGCTTCCTAGCACAGCTCTGGCAAAGAAGTTCATTCCTAACCTCAGGCATTTCTTGGCTTTGGTTCTCAAGTTTAAAGCCTATCTTGAAGAAAGTTTGTCAAATGTACTAGTTTGTACCCTCTAGCCTCATTAATATAGCTTCAAATTTCTGGAAATATTTATAGCCATTTAAAGAAGCTGATTATAAACTCCTCAGGGACCCATGACGTAAAAATTACCCCATGTCAAATATTCTAGGAAATATATTTATTTGACCTTATGTGAGAGAGGGTTAACTGACAGCTATTTTTTTCACAGAATCCATACAGGTGGGGAACTACATAGTTAGTAGATGCTTAAGATTAACATTGTTGATCCAATAAAGGAATGCATTCTATATTAAAAGGAAGGAAAAATGTAAGTTGTTTTACAGGAATCTGTTGACTTTTATAGGGTCATTCGAACAACTGGATACTTGCTGTTTATCTTACACCTCAATGCATGCCTCTATTATTGGGCTTCAGACTATGAAGGAATTGGCTCCACTAGATGGGTGTATGATGGTGAAGGAAACATGTAAGTCCTTTTCTCTTGCAAGAGATTTTTGTTAATTTTGCTCCTTCCTGCCTCCCCCTCCTTTTCCTAAGCCTTTGCTTGCAGGGTATGCCCTTACTTTACAAGTGCATGAATAGCAAACTTTTAGCACCGTGACTGCTGATTAGCAGCTTTCATTACAAGCATATTGGGAGTGCAGGTGCAGTGAATAATCAGTTTACCACTTTCAGCTTTTATGGGTTTATGAGTCAGTGTAAAGCACCAACTTAATTAAACATTTAGAAAGCAACAAGGGTCATAAATTAAACTTACTGATTGCATATGCACATGGGAACCTTTCAAAGGATTGTATGGCAATCCCTCAAAGGAAACTGAGGAATAGCTTAGTGGTTTTTTTTCTGCCACACGGCATTGTGCCACTAAAGTGCAAATATTTTTTATCCCTCTACACCGTAGTGATTGGTCTGAAAAAATACCACCAGCTTTTTCTCATCTTTTGGGAAGATCTTGCTTAAAAATGTGGCAGAGTGTTACCAGAGGAAAGGACGGGATATTGGCACACTTTTCCACATTCTCCTTATGAAAGCACTAGGTTGGGCACCAAGCAAGGAACATTTTTTAAGATGATTAAGGGAAACTAAGAGAAAATAGCAAATTCATAATATAATTTGTGTGTAATTTTATAAAAACATATCTCATAGGTTCAGCTCTATGAACATTTATTTATTTAAAAGGACATCATGCAGTTAAAACCACAAAAGCTTAATTTGTTCATTAATTACATTCTTTGCAAAACCATATATAATGTCTTACTGCTGTCATAAACCACCTTTCAAAGAACTTTTCACCTTGTTCTTGGAGATGTGCTCCTGTCTGTAGTTTTGTCAGACTTCACAAGTTTGATGTGAAGTCACCATCTTGAAGGATAAGAAAACAAGCTTTGAAAGAAAACCACATTTCGTGTAAAGCAGCACTGACTTCTTTATAATTAAGGTTATATCTCAAAAAAATTACATGTCCGAAGTTTTCACACACCACTAAAATGTACAACTTCAGGACTGCAGTCAAGCATTTGAAAGCAGGGTCACAGAGCTCAGTGGGACCACTTATGTAAATAAAGTTACAGACAGGTATTTATTTTCAGGATCAAGGCTTATAGAAATCTGACTAGAAAAATGCAAAACTAATTTCCATTATAGCTATTTTTGTTAATGTCATTCTTGGGAATATTTGCCTCATAATTAAAAATAAAGTATTTAAGACTAAAAAACCTGAAAATTCTGAAAGTAAAGTTTACTTGATCTTCAAGTTTTTTAATGCTTCTTCAAAAAATCTAGGGAATAGACAAAAATATTTGACATTTCACTCAGAGAAACAATTGGTAGACATTATTTACTAGTTTGATCACAGACAATGCATTTGTTTCCAGAGGTAATGGCCAGATTTTTTAATATTTTGTGATCTCTCTTCCACGAGAAGACAAAAACATTTCTCAAATGAAGTCACACTGAAATCACATGGAGTTTAGGGCAGATTTATTTTATAAACAATAATAATAAACTGATAATTCAAGATCTGCATTGAACTGAGATGCTTAAATAAAATCCATATTTGGATATGCATATATCTTAACACAAGAAAGCTGTAGACCTATTGAAACGAGTCCAGAGGAGAGCTACTAAGCTGACCACAGGGCTGGAGCACCTGTCTTATGAAGACAGGTTGGGAAATTTGGGACTGTTCAGCCTAGAGAAGAGAAGGTTCTGGGGAGACCTTACAGCAGCCTTCCAGTACCTAAAAGGGCCTACAAGAAAGCCACAGAGGGACTTTTTACAAGGGCATGTAGTGATAGGACAAGGGGGATGGCTTTAAACTGAGGGAAAGTTTAAGTTAGATATTAGGAAGAAGTTCCTTACTTTTGACAAGGAAGCACTGTGTGAACATTAGTTACAATTGGAGATGCATTCTGAATTTAAACCTATCAAATAAGATACTTCTGGTTTTCTAGGTATTCATTTGTTTGTAAAGCAGGATTTAAGAACAATATGAGGAAAATCTGTCAGAAAAAGTGACCAGTGCTGCAGCATATATTATGGCACAACATAATTTCCTTTCACATAGCATTCAGGGTTGACAATTTTTGAAGCAAATAGTCTCACAAAGAATGGGAACACATTCAGAAAGAACATTAGGCAAACAGCTACCTAGCAAATTTTAAAAAATGACAGTTAGCAGTTTGACATATAAATGAAAATTCTAGTGGTCTCAGATTACACTGACCCAAAACAAATGATCCGGCACTGATTTAGAGGCATTAATGTTTTATGAAGAATCCTTGCTGTGTCCATAAAATATTGCTAGTTGTGGCCAAAACCAGTTCTTAAAAATGTCAACATTTCTAGGGTACTTTTTTTTTTTCTTTTCCAGGTTAAAAAGAATAAACAGACAGCAGATTCTTTTATCAATTTGATTACATATATATTACTGAGCAGGCGTACTAACTGATGAATAAAATCCATAACTAAAAGCTGTACACAACACTCAAACCATGAGAAAAATTACCAAAGCAGCTCTTTTGCAAATCTCTGCTATCTCTATCCTTTTCCAGGCCTTGCCCAGATTCTAAAGTGTTCGTGTCAATCCAAAAAGACTTGAGTTTTTTGCAGGGCAGCCTTCAGTCAAAGCCTTTGACCTGACATGCAAAAGGCAGTCTTTACTTTACTTCCCTACAACACACTCAAATTAGCCACACAAGGTGTTCCCAGCATTAAAAGTGCACTCATGAGCTTGATATAATTAGTCAGATAGATCTCACCCTCTCCTAATGCAGAAGTGCAGCATCACTAATGCAACACCATAGTGTAGAGTCTATGTAAGCACTGCAGCATGATACTGAAAAGGCCTCTTAATTAAGTGGAGAATTTGAACTATATGTGTTTATTTACAATCTAATTTAACTACCTAAGTAAGAGATCAGTCTCCCTAATTCCTGAGGAAAATGGACAAATCCTTTAGAAAAGGATTCAAGGCAGGAACATAATGTCATCGTTCCAAATTGTCCAAAGGAATATTACGTTTCCCTGTAGCTTGCTGCTCTCCTGCTCTGGGCACAGACTTAGTGGACATCTGTAAGTCCCAGAAAATAGTTACTGTACATGTCTAGAAAACTCAAATTCTGTAGTATGCATTGTCCAATGAGCAGTGAGACTGGCAAATCTTAAAACGTGTCTCAGGGGTATCAGCTGTGCATTGCTCTTGCAATAGGTGTTTTATGTCACAATCACAGTACTTGCTATACAAAGGTAGTTTTGTGCTTCCAGCCAAGCTGTGAATGCACAGCCCAACTCATACATCACACCTAACGCTTTCACACCTTCTATTTGCAGCCATACATTTTAGGTAAAAGCTTTCTAGTTTACTCCATTCTGTCTGAGATCATCATACCCACAGCTACCTGATGAACAACACATCGCTCTAGAAAAAGAGGTACCAAGGAGGTCATAAGATTATCAGTTTATAAAGGCCATTTCTTTACTCTGCTTAAACCCATCCTGGTTGTTATGTGAGAGGGTCAAATGTGATAGCCCTGAAATAATGCTTCCTTGGGCTGAAATGAGTGTGTAAATACAACCTTAAAAACTGAGAGCCATGTGCACAGAGACTTGATTTACCTGCATTAACCAAAACCATGTAAGAAGTTTAGTATATTTTAGAATGGACTGTTATGAAGAACATATTTCTATTGGTATAATACTATGAGGTAACGGATTTGCAGTGTTCTTAAAGTTTTCATACCTTGGACTTATTTTAGGGAAAAATCTGATAGTTTGGTTGCCTGAAGAATAACCATGCTCTCTCTGATGAGCAGAAGGAAAAGTCCCTTTTTTTTCTCATGTTGCTTCAACAGTAAATTTATAACAGCCCAGTAAGCTGTGATGGTTTCCAGACACAAGCTAGTAGGAAGCAGAGCTTCTAAAATTGTTGAAATAGGAGTCTTAAACAAAATTTACAATCTCATTTCTCCCTTTCGTAGGGAAGAAAGCAAGCTGCTCTGTATTTCAACTGTGTAAGTTTCATTTCAGATTAAAATAAAACCAAAAATGCATAAATGGAGAAAACCCGTCTCTAAGAGATAGGAATATCATGTGACTTTGCCAGTAGAAAGTTTCTTTTAAAGTAAAACTACAGAATAATATAGTGTTTTAACTATATCTTCAGAAAGAACTAGGCAGATATCAAAAAAATATCTCCCATTTTGTATATACAACACTGCAAAGAAATATTCCTCTGAGGAGCTGCTTTCATTCTTTGTAGACATTCCCTGAACAAAGATTATATTTTCTATCATGGTGGAATCAGTAAGCTTGCCATGCAGGGTGATGGAGTTGGTTCATTACTATTGTTTCCTATAGTAATTAGAACAGAAGTAATGATAGTTTCTTTACTTTTATATTACTAAATTATACCTCTTTCAAGCACTACAGCATTCTCAGTTAATATGCCTCATACGGTAGTTCCTCTTAGCCGAACTAGAAGCATCATTTTATACTTAAATCTGTCATTCTTCCAAAACAGACCTTAGTCTTTTTCTTACTATTTGTTTATGCTAAAGGACTCTAGGATAAAGCTGCAACTTATGCATATTTTGCTGTAAAGTTGCATTTTTATTTTTTTTTTAACACAGGTGAAAATATTATAGCAGTGTAAGCCAGAGTTTCATTTTGCAGCCCTATAATAGAAAAATTATATGATAGCAAATATGCAATGAATTTTTTTAATTTAAGGTCTCTAAATCAAAATGGCCAGTTCTGGCTATTAGAATCTAAAACTAGAATACTATAGTAAATATGATAATTGTTACTGTATTTCATTAATCTACAACCAAGAAAAAGATTTTTGTAATAAAAAACAGAAATCAGTTGTGTAGTAAAGCAAATTTTAGGTGAAAAACTTGGAAAGAGTTTAGAGTGATTTAAACAAACCCCTCATTGGAATTGGTTGTGAGTTTATTTTCTCATATTTGCACAAAACAAACTTTACACTGTATTATCGCAGGAACCACTTATTAATAGTAGTGGACTTCATATCTTAACAAGAGAGGAATTAAGTAGAGAGAATTAAATAAAATGTACACCTGTGGTCTGCAAGCAGATCAGGTGTCTTCAGATTCAGTCGAGGTAGAAGAAGACGCATGCTGGAATTTCTATTTTCAAAACAAACATTTCCAAAAGTATTTATTCTGTGTTTTATTGTTTGGGAGGTTTCTGTTTGTTTTTTTAATTGTTATTTCAAACTCAATAAAATTTAGCAAATAGAAGGAATCATTATTGCTTCAAAAGCAATAATCATAGCTGCAATAATAGAAAATCTCACTGTACAATTAAGGAAAATGAACTTCCACCCCTAATCATCAGCGAAGCTGAAGTCTGGTTGTACAGAAATGTCAGATTCTAATTAAAAGGAGGCTTTTAAAGGTATACCTAAACCAAGTACTTGTTTGCTCAGAAAAGAAGCAAATGATAGCATACTTCTGACAATGATTTGCATTACTTGTGGTGCCATTTTCTAGAATGAAATTTAAACCAGAATTTTAGAGGTACCAAGGCACTTTTCCAAAACTTGTGTTATCATACTAGAAATATATATATATTGTAATAGAAATATATGACTAGAAGGCAATAGGCTCTGTCGTGTGGGCTATGTGCAAAGAGGGCCATACAAATAGAACAAAAAACTTTGTCCTCACAGCTCACACTTCAGGTAGGAAACGTAACTGATTGCAGATGGATACTATGAAGGAGTCAATATAAGCCATTCATTGAAGAAGAGTCTTAGTAACTGACCACTGCCCTATTTATTTGGATTTTAAATCAAGAGAATTCTGATAAAAGTCTTAAAGTGGTTTTGTAGCCATTAATGGACTGGTCTCCCCTGGCAGCAGAGAAAGTAGTGGAGAAGGCAAGAAAGTGTTTGTCAGGGTGACAGAAGGAGTAGTGAAGACCAGCAACGAGGAGACATTATACAGGAATCAACCTTTCAGTGCTGAATAAGTGAAGCGGTTTGGAGAAGCTGGATAAACACACAGCTTGTGGAAACGTAACTTCTGGTTGACATAACCCAGGAGGTAGAGCCAATAAAGGATGCTCAGAAGCAGAGTGGGAGGAAGACTTACACGGTTAAAGGGGTAGGAATGGACACAAGAAGAACACCACATTTGTCATTCCCACAAATTCACACTGGTGTCATCAAGTGAAAGCCATGAAAAAGACCTTCAGATGTCTGAGCATCTAGTATACTGATACAGAGAGACTCTGGGAAGTCTCTAACATTTTTACGCTGCTTTTAACATCATAACATCTTCACTGGTAGCATCCTAACACTGTAATGTCCATCTTGGCAATTTTTTACACGAGTCGTCTGTAACACTACATAGAGTTACTAGAAAACAGTAAGTACTGCATTTCCCATACACTCTTATTTTGCTGTCAATGAGAACACTCAGCTCAACCCAATTTATGTAACTGTAGCATTTGTAAATTCATAACCCTTTATAAAAATGCTGAAAGTCTTTTGGACTGAAAAGCGTCAGTGAAAGGCCCAGCTCAGGCAGGTATATGTTTAAGTTCACCACCATAAGCACCTACTGTCTCTAACAAAAGTGCTCTTTGTATCCACAGGTATCTGAGGTGTTACTACTGGGCAGTTCGCAGCCTAATCACCATCGGGGGCCTTGCAGAACCACAAACACTGTTTGAGATAATCTTTCAACTGCTAAATTATTTCATGGGTGTCTTTGTCTTCTCCAGTTTAATTGGTCAGGTACATTAAAAAAAAAAAAATAAAATCAATAATAAGTTACCTTCAAAATACTGCAATGTAGTGATAATATATTCAGTATAATGGAGTTTAGTTCTGAGAGAAAGTTTAGCTTCCATCCTCTATTCTGTCATCCCTAGTCTTATTCTTCTGACAAATAGATGTATTTAATCAGTTACTGGTCGTGTAGCTATTCTGCACAAAAGCTGGTTTAAAGCCAAGACTCTGTAGGACACGGATGATTCTTGAAACTATTTATAATTCCTTTTTTTTACTGACTCACAGCCAAGGAGACAGTTCCTTGACATTCATGTTATACTGTTAAATCTGACATAAAAATTATAATTGTTGAATAAATGACGTTCAGTACTACTACCAATAGAATACTGTTAATGGAAATCCCATGATTTTTGCCAAACTAGAATTCTGATCTCTTCCACAAATTACAATATATTTGTCAATCTGAAAATTAAGTGGTTTCTATTTCTCTTAGCTCTCGTTTGGCAGGAGGGGGAAAAAAGGACCATAGCATAACAAATCAGTTATACTTTCAAATATTTCCAACTTTAAATCCACAGGTTTTAAAATACCTTCCCTACGGAAAAACAAATGGTTCCTAAGTGAGACTGTGTCTTACAGTTTCTGGAGAAATCCTTCCAAACTTTTTGATTTGTATATACCTGTTATTTAAAGAATCATCAAAAAAAAACCAAAACCCCTAAAATTTAATTTTTATTTTCAATACAGCATTCGAAAAATTCAGTCAAACAGTTAAAAATTGCATACAGTCTCTTGCTCTTTAGAAGTGTCAGAAGAGGTAACTGCTACAAAAGAGACACCTGCCTACAGGATTTTAAATTCATCCACAAACAAGAATTAGCAAAAATAAAAGAAAGCATTCATATAAAATATTTCTTCTGGAAAACAAGTATATAGAATTAAACTTCAGAGTTTCCATATTTGTTTCCTAAATTTCTGTAATTGCCAATGAAAGCCTCATTCCATAGGAAGATTCTGCAGATTAGTTTTTGTAACAAGTGTAGTCATTTGCAGACTCTAACCCTTAACACACAAATTGCTTCATTGCAGTTTTTTTGTTATAGTTCCTGTTTACAAAGAGCTCTTAAAATAATTGAGTTATTCCCAGTTTTGCACACTTGCCTAAATATTGTTATTCCCACTGCAATCAAATGCATCCTTGTAATAAAGAGCAAAATTCAGCCCATGGTTGAATCCTTGACAGTAATCCTTGACAGCTGCCAAATGAAGCCATTCCACTAAAAACATATTTAAATACTTAAGAATATCCATGAACACTAAATCATCCACTTTTTAAAAACTGAATTACATTTGTGTTGAAATGTTAAATGATGTTCCTGCACTAAAAACTTTTAGGTCAGCTTTCAGCTCACAGTACTTAGTATTGATCTCTTAATTATTTAAACAGTGGCATGATCTCAGTTCTGATGGTGTCAGATGACATTACTAGAGAAATTCAGCCCCATTTGTTTCACTTCTGACTTGCATTGCATGCCAAATGCTTAAAAAAGCATTATCTACAATTTTCATCCATGTCCAGAAATATGAGACAGAAGAATAAGCTAAACCCCAGAAATTATTCCTCTAAAACCATAATTACACTTTCCAACACAATCAGATTAAATCTGTAATGCTTCTGAAAGAGTAGATGAAGCACCTATTCAAAACATGCAACTGAATGTATAATTATTCAGTGATTTTGCAAACAAGTGTTTCATTATTTTTATATGTTGTTGGCAAGATATTAAAATCATGACTATTTTTGCTGAAATGTGTAGTAACAACAATTGATGTTTGCAGATGAGAGATGTAATTGGAGCAGCAACAGCAGGACAGAACTACTTTCGTTCCTGTGTGGACAATACTGTCTCCTATATGAACACTTATTCTATTCCAAGATTGGTCCAAAATCGTGTTCGAACTTGGTATGAATACACATGGGACTCTCAGGGAATGCTGGGTAAGGATTTACAATTCCAGTTACTTAGCATGTCCAAGTGAAAGTGTTTGTATAGATACAGATATAGGGTGAAATTCACATTTCTCCTTTTCTGAATTGCATTCGGAAAGAGAGAGGAAGCTGCTCAACTTACTTTGGAAAAGAAACTACAAAGCAATAGGACACTTACTACTTCACAAATTCAAATAATTAATATAATGTTCTGGTAATAATTTTAGACAAGATATATTAAATATCCTAGTAAAAACCTATTAGCAGCTTCCCCACTTGAACTTGTAAAGAGCTCCATTGAGTTATTTTTCTGTACAAAGCTCATTTTTATGAACATTCTTCAATTCTTCCTTTTTTTTTTTTTTTCAGATGAATCAGAATTACTGGAGCAGATGCCAACAAAAATGCAGTTAGCCATTGCAATTGATGTGAACTTTGCCATTGTCAATAAAGTGGACTTATTCAAAGCAAGTACTTTTACAGGAGGATGCAGAAATGTGTGGTATTCCTGAGACAGAAACCTTGTTCTGTGCATCTTGCAAAATTTAGGAACATGTTTGTAAATATGCAAGGCAAAATAAGTCTAAGAAATGTCTCAATTAATGGAGAACAAAGCTAAGTGTCTGCATTTGAATGTGGGGTTTTTGTCAAGGCAGTGATTTTTTAGAAAAGCAAATGAGATCAAGACATAGTCCTGTTATGACAACATACTAAAGCTGATGGTATGGTCAGACTGTGTGTTAATTAATCTGAAGAGTCAGATATAGAATAATCTAATTTTTAGCACAGTTCACCTTGCTGTGTGCTGCCCAGGTCTGCCTGAAAGATCTCCCACGCTGTGTGTTCTGGCAACACAACTTTCATGTAGTGAATGCTGCATTTTAGTAAGTTTTTGTGCAAAAGAGCTTTATTTATCGTAGTAGTTTTCCAGAGCTAAAATTTAAATGTGTACTTAAAACTGGCTTTCTGAAACAAAACTAAGAAGACCCTGAATTTTTAGCAGTAGTCTTGACATACAAGAAATTTGCTTGTTAGGATATTTTTAAGAAATCACATGAAATACCTGTATGAACATTACAGGGCTGAATGGTTTTTCCACATTTCCTGAAAACATGGAATTCACAGATTCATACCAACATTTGATGTGATCTGGTTTTTATCTCTGGATCATTAAAACCAACAAAAAAATCCTCATAAAATTCCCATAACAGAGCAATAAAGCTCTGATCATAACACTAACTGAGCTTCCACAGCAAATTTGGATGTACAGAAGTTCAATTTGTAAAAAATGGAAAGACGTTCCACCCATAAAGAACTTTATAAGTATTTGAAATAACAACTCTTTCAGTCTTTTTCAGCTCTAATAGCTGATCTTTATGATGATTTGAGTTTGTATTCCACTTAAGAATCTCTTGGTCATGCCTGTATTGTTGGGGTTTGAGGCCAGTGTAAGCACTAATAGTTCCTTTTGCTACTGAATTAACAGAACAATCAACTCTTAACTATTTTAATAGGGCTGTGATACCCAGATGATATATGACATGCTGCTAAGGTTGAAATCCATTGTGTATCTACCTGGTGACTTTGTCTGCAAAAAGGTGAGCATTTTTGTCTTGTTGAGATAATAATTAGTTTACGTATTTTAGAAAAAGACTTCATATATTGGTAAAAAATGTCCTTTAAATAAAATTAATCCTGACTAAATTAAGACAGAATAAAAATAATTAAGGTACTCTGTGTAATAACAAATGTGCTCTCAAATTTTACACACATAGTAGGGAATAAAACCCTGTTGGAACCACCTCCCACTGGGATGTATGCTGCATCTCATCCTAGTCTACCAAGGAGATGCTGCATGCTGGCTTGGACGACCAAGTGAAGAGACAGGAAGTGCAAGTCCCTACATTTCCAGTCCTGGCTACATTGCTGCAGCCTTTTGACTTTTAAAATGAAATTGCTGCTTTGCCTCATAGTATTGGTAAACCCAGAATTTGTCATATTATTCTAACAACAAAAACCACTGCTGAAACATGGGTTCTTTATGTGTTTGTGTGCCCAGGGAGAGATTGGCAGAGAGATGTACATCATCAAACAGGGTGAAGTTCAAGTCCTTGGAGGTCCTGATGGTACAAAAGTACTGGTTACACTAAAAGCAGGAGCTGTATTTGGGGAGATCAGGTACGTTCATCACTGTTCTTAATACTTTCTTTGGAACTGGTCAAATAATCAATGGTTGTTTAAATTCTCTGTGGTAAGCATGACAGCTACCATGGTGAGACTCAAAAGTGAGTAGTATCAACAAAGGGGACACTGAACAAGGAGGTGCAGATAAATGAAGGAAAATCTAAGCAAAGCATCAGCAATA